AAAGAATGGATCATTCGGTGAAAGCGATGAATAGTCACCGAAAGGTAGTCTTCTCGCGACTGTTGAATCGGCACCGCTTCGAGAGCCGCGAACTCGAGGCGCTATACCAGCGCTATATCTTCAAACTGCAACAGTCGTCCATCATCTCAGTCTTGGCTCTCTTCACTCTTCTCACCGCAACTCTCGCCTCACTTCAGGTCTATTACGAGAAGACTGTGACAGTCATTGCACTCTATTGTCTCCTCCAATGTCTGGCATTTGTGGGTCTGTTTGTGCTGTCGTTTAAGATGCACGACAACCAACTCCTGGCTCTCTGTTATGTGATATTACTCTTCTGTGTCCTCTTCTGTCTCATCTTCGCTCCCGTGAACCTCAATATAAGAGACCCGCAAACGGGCGTCAATACGAACGACACGACTATCGCTGCGAGCGATGGCATCGGTGGTGAGGAAGAGGTGCCATCGGTTGGGCAGTGGTTTGTGTTGCGGGTGTGGTCTGTGGATCGGGTGGCGGCGGACGGCGTTTGGCAGATAGTGTTCGTCACTTTCCTCACGTACACAATGTTACCGATTAAGACCCGAATCTCATTGCTGTTGGGGTGTGTGCTGTCGGGCGCACACATCGCCCTCACTGTAACCAATGCCAGACACGCTGTCCACCAGTCACTGGCCGTACAGCAGGTAAGACACGATCGCATTGATTGCATTCAAACTATAGGCTTAACAAAAATGCATTTTGTTTGTGAAAACTTAATTAAAGAAAACTTTTTACGCAAATGATTGCACAAAAAAAGACAGAGACAACGGATTAAGAGTTTTATTTATAGCGAAAGTAAATCTTGTATTTGGATTAAAATGAGTTAAAGTCGACTAAAAGCACTGAACATTAGACTTAAGTTTGTGTTTGATTTGACATTTTCTTGCAGTTAGTTATTAATGGGAATAAATCCTCATTTAAAGCATTTGTTATATTTTGTAATAAATTCTTATTAAACAAACAAATGACAAGACATGAAGACATGCCATGAGAACTACTTTTATCTTTTCTCAAGACTTAAGTCAATGTTTTGTTGGACTCAAAGCCAAAGCTAATCAATTGAAAGACTTTAATATTATTAATGCATATCAATAGATAGAGTAATGATTTTTTAATCTCTAAGGCTTTGTATTGTTTTAAAGCTATTGTAATATAATTTTTAATGTGATATTAAAAGAAAAAACATTTTATTATTATTTTCCATTGTTTGCACTAAAGATGCGAAACGAATGCAATGAATATATTAATTATGTAAATGAAAGGCTCATCTCTTATACCAACCTTTTTACTCATTAATGCATTTTTCGGAATATAGGAAATGTTTTTAATATTTGTATTAAAGAAAGACATTTTAAAATTATATTTTATAATCATTTAATGAAATGATTAATTAAAAATAGTTTGGATAAAAAGCTATTTTAATCAGTATTTGGTTGATAATCATGCGATACGTTTGAGGCATAAAATGCTGTCATTTGCATATTCACTGCAACTCTACTATTGAAACGAAAATTAAAGTTTTTTAAGAGATTGAATGAATCCAACGATTGAATGTCTAAGTGTTGTTCACTTCAATTACGGCAAAGAGTTGTTGAGTCTCTCTATTAAGACAAGTATTGAGTGCTCGCGTTTGATATCCTATAAGATTAACGATTTTCAGTATAACTTTATAACGAAAAACGTCGTGAATGTAAGACACGGCCAAAATAAATGAAGGCATCCGTCCCTTCAGATACAGTATTATCGGCAGTGCTTTTAATACACAAAAAACTCTGTCTTCTAATGAATTATTTATTTGACTTAAAGAAGAAGAAGAAAATGTCTAATTAGTTATATATAATACATGTATATATCAATAAAGAACTGATTTCAATGATGAACGCTCTCCTTATTATTCATATAAAAAATTCTTGTCTTACAAAACAAATAGTCATAAAATTTGTTTGTATTTAGCCTTTAATTATCTATGTTTTAACAATGCCTGTCATATTCCCTCATTCTTCCCATTTATATAATTGGCTTCTCTTTAATGTATTTTCTAATTTGAATAATAATTTTCTGTCACAACATTTCAATTGATTTAATAATAGTCTGCAATAATAGTCGCCAGAATATTCTCATTTTGTTTTCCCATTACAATCAAAGGCTAACAAACATTTATTTTCACAATATTTTTGTTCATAAAAATGGTTTTTATTGATCGTTGGTATCGATGGTGCGGATGAAATCACTTGTATTTCTATTATCTAATGATTTTCTCATCACTTTTTACCTTAATCTCTGACCATAAATGATTGCCATCTTTCATAATTTGTTTCTTTATTAAGTTTTCTTTCTTTTCTATTTTGTGATATAAAAGACAGTATTTTCTAAAATATATCAAATTGAATGTATTTATCATTGTCTTCGCATTCATCCCGATATGTCTTTATATTGAGTTATCGCTTCGTTTTCGAGTGTTTTCTTTGATCCGAGTTTTGAATATCAAAATCGACGACAATTTTTCGTTCAAATAAAATGTTGAATTCATGACACGTTTTGAGGCATTAGTGTCGATAAGATATGTTCACAATTTTGAATTTCAACTACACTTTCTTAAAGTTTCAAATGAATGTCTTTTATTGTTTTTGGAAATCGACTTATTCTTTACTGTTGGCCAGCATTTTGACCATTGCTTACATTTATAGTGAAATAATCAACTCTTCTATCCATTCATTTTAACGCATTCTTTATTGGGGAACTTTTTCACGATATATCAAATTAAAGCCCATTTAAAGGCAAGTTTCGAAATAATTGTAATCATAAACAAAATCTGGTCTTCACTTCTACTGTACTTCGTATTCAAATAAATCTATTCTTAGAGAGAGAGAGAGAGAGAGAGAGAGAGAGAGATAACAAATTATGAAAGATGGCAATCATTTATGGTCAGAGAGAGAGAGAGAGAGAGAGAGAGAGAGAGAGAGAGATTTGTTATTGTAAAAGTGAGACTGAATGGCAAATATCTTAGACATAATTATGTTGATAACATCCCATTCCTCCCAAACTTTAATCTATAAATAAGATAAAAATGCTTTTTTGATGCTTTCGATGCGTTTATACTTTAAATAAACATTAAAAATATGGTTAACTATTGGCACGACTTGTCGTTGATTTTCATTGAGTAAACGACAAATTCTTATCGTTTATAATTATAGAAAGTCTTTTCAGTTTTAGTATCGAGTGTTGTATTGATTCTATTGAATATACTGTATATATATTTAGACAACAAAACAGTCAATATGTGATAAAATCATATCTCAATTGATTGCCATTCAATGATTTTATCCTCTTTTATCCATCGTTTGCTTTCAATATTTCTGTTAATAATATTCAGTCAGTATTTGGCTTATAAAGAGAGCATTATATTTATGTATTAGTTATGCTGTACACTCTGGAAAACATATAGCAGGCAGGGCACAAAGCTGCAGCGGATTATCTCAGCACAAAACAGTGCAAATTTTTTCGCACATAGATCTCAAAAAGGGTTGATTTTGTGATATATGTGTGAAAAAATTGACACTGTTTTAGGTGGAGATAATTGATGCTAATTAATATTACTAATATTTTGTAGCGTTCTACCCAGCCTGCATATTGTGTTCCAGCCTGTAATACAACCGCATAGAGTCTATGCCATAGACTTACAGTATTTGAAGTTCAGTGCCGTTTAGGGCTAAAGATTTAGTATTAATATTAAACTAATACACCGTGTTTTGCAATAACTAACAGTATA